CTGAAGTTTAAAGAGAATCGGAGTCGCGCGGGCCGGCAGCCCGCAGCACTGAAGTTTAAAGAGATTCGGAGCCGTGCGGGCTGGCAGCCCGGAGCACTGATGGGAGCGGGAGCCGTGCAGGCCGCCCGCAGCACTGAAGTTTAAAGAGAATCGGAGTCGTGCGGGCCGGCAGCCCGCAGCACTGAAGTTTAAAGAGAATCGGAGTCGTGCGGGCCGGCAGCCCGCAGCACTGAAGTTTAAAGAGATTCGGAGCCGTGCGGGCTGGCAGCCCGGAGCACTGATGGGAGCGGGAGCCGTGCGGGCCGGCAGAATTGGAGCCGCGCGATTTTGGCAAGAGAATCGAGATTTTCAGAGAACCGAAGCCGTGCAAGCTGGCAGCCTGAAGCAGAGTGCAGCCTTCGTCAAGCTCCGCGACTGCAGGCATGCAGGCTGCACCAACTTGCAGCTCCAGGAAGCCATTCGTTGTCACGAGGCAGCTCCGGCAAAAAGCCAAAGCGACAGGAGAGAATGGTCACTAAGAACTGGTGACGGCTTTCCGCCAGTGGTCCATGAGGCTGTGTCAACGCGAGCGGTGACCTCCGTGGCTAAAACTATCCGAGCAAACCCCAAGAGTGTGGAGATCCCTTGGGGACTTGCTGGCTGTTTTGGAAATTGCTCCAGCTTGTCTGGAGGTACCTGCCATGGAGTGCGATGAAAAGCCCGTGGAAGCTTGGATGTCTCTGGATCTCCCGGTCAGCACCGATGGGAGCGGGAGACGTGCGGGCCGGCAGCCCACGAATCGAACGGCTCGAGTGGCACGGAAGGGACAATTGCGGCCTTTGCGTTCCAGTTCCGACATTGTTGGTGTGGCCTGTCGACGTTAACACTAAGGATCAGCCTCCAAAAGCGCATCTGGATGTGCCGTCCTTCTACATGAAACCCGACCGCGTCTCCTAGCTCTCTGCAGTTTCTCCCACTCCACGCAGCCTTGGCGAAAAGCAGCTGCAAAATGGATGTGTGCCAGGGGGGCTGCCACCTTTGGGCGGACCTGCGCCAGGAGGCTGGGAGGTCAAGGCATGGCACATGGGTTCTCTCAGACTCTGATTTAAAGGAGGGCCTACGGCGTACTTCGGCTTTCTGGGATGATCAAGCCCCAAGGACGAATTCCCAAGGCCTGGCTCAGGAACGGGTTCTCGCAGGCAAAATAATCCAAGCACACCTGCGGAGAGGCCAAAGGCTCTTGCAGCAAAAAATGAACAAACAAAACGCGTCGTGCCAACTTGTACCGTTACCGTTAGCTACAGTAATCCGAGTATAGATCCTGCAAGCGCTTGGGCCAAGCCCCGAGGGAAAACTTGAATCTGCCCCCCTCCGCTTTCTGTAGGTCCAGCCACATCGAGCAGCCAGGGATGGTCCTCATGTGAGGAGTTCGGTTCTCCTGGCAGCTTCGGGGCGGGGGGCAGGCTTGGCACAGGCCTGAGGCATCGCACGAACTTCTACCGCGACCTCTCAACCACCCCTTTCCGGCCGCTGCATGCCCAAACCCAGTACAAGTTTTGAATACCGTGGCCTGTGGCGCGCCACGCCGGCAGCGGCTGGTCTTCGCCAGGCAGAAGGGACCTGGAGCAGTGAAGCTCAATTCGCCTCGAAGTGCCAAGGACTTACGCCGACTTGCGGTTTCTGCTGCCAAACCAGCAATCAGCTGTGCCTGATACGCCCCGTGCTTCTCACAGCATGTGGTCTCCAACAGCTCCCTTCCAGAATGTGTAGATCTTCGGCATCCGCTGGATCTGCTTGTGCCCACGTACGTACATGCATACGCAGGTACATGCATACGTACCTGGCAGACATACGTACACACGTGCATGCATGCGCGCACATAAAGTTGCAGGTGCAAGTATTCATATGCCTTGTGTCCCACTCTCCGACCTGATCAACGAGGCTCTCGCTTGGTGGGTCGCCTGAGATGCTCCTAAAGCTAGACCAGATACGAGGCCGACTCGCGGTGCTACTATTCATGCTTTGAAGAACACGCACTACCTGCAGGTGTTTCGAACTGCGAGCTTTGGCGTCTCGCTTCCAGTGTGCTGCTCTTCGCGCGGCTAAATGCTCGAGCTTAGAGTGCATGTGTGCATCTGTGTATCTATGCGTGTATGTCTGGTTGTGGACCGACTGTTTCGGGTGCGCATGTCTAGGTATGTTCGTCTATGACGCACCCGAAAAGCTTTGGGGTCCCGGCACCCTTAGGTCCAACGGCTGCGAGCATCGAAGCGATTTCTCGGGGCTGTAGATGCCGTCCTCCGAAATTGCGGTGTTAGATCTGGTTTAGGCGTTGAGGGCTTTCGCTTTCTGGAAGATCGGGACAGTGAAACTCCCTTGATCCCCAACCTGATGGGCCTTTGTGTTTTTTTGGGCCCAAACCACTCTTCGTCCCTGACCCTCCCATCCGTCCTCAACGAAATAAGGCTCGGAGCAACTGATCTTGATGCCTTCGACTTGAGCCTGAGGCAGTTCTGGGTCCGTTGCTGGGTTTCGCAATCAGGATCCTGCATGACCGCTTTGGAAAACGCGCCCCTGTTGGGCACCGCGCACATCTGATACAGATACACAGATGCAGTATGGGCCTCGTCCTCATCCTCTTCGCGACCGTCCGTCGTCTTCCCTGCCAGTCTCAAGCAAGGGCATCTCATATCTCAGAGCACCACCTTACGACCTGTCGCAAACATCGAGGTCTCCAAGCCCAGGGGGCTGCTGGGGCTTCGAGAGTACTTCGCAAAGAAAGACGCACATCTCTTGGGTTCGGGAATCCAACCCCCCTCCTCTGGCCAACCTCGAGGGCCGAGACCGCGGCCGACATGGCACCCTCGCGGCAGGCGAGCAGAACTGTCCAAAAGGCGAAAAGCTTTCATCCGGAAACGGCTAGGCGGGCTAGGCTTCCAGACATGAGGAGGCAAGAAGGAGAGACCTTTCCACTAAGGCCCTCAGCCCTCTGCCTTCGAGGCCCTCAGCCCTCGAACAAGACTGCATGTACGGTTTGGCTCTGCATCAGAGTTGCGATAAGTGCCGTCAGAAATCTGCTGCGACCCGGGAGGGCGAACCCACCTTGACGGTACGATTGCTGCGGCTTTTGAAGGTGTCCAAACTTTGTAAGAATTCTCGATGAACCTCGTTCCTGGCCTTGCGGTGTCCGGCTAGCAATACCCCCGACACTTAAGCCACACGATCAAGGATTCGAACTTGTACAGACACGCAATTGTTGAATTCATACAAGCTGCTGTTCTTCCCTTGGGCCCTTCTTGATATGAAATGCCGGACTGACTGTGTGCGCGTCTCTCTGGCTGCTTGGGCTCGCTTGATTACAGAAGGCAAGCTCTAGCCAGTCGTTGAAGATAGGCTTCGCTTCAAGCCGTGCTGTTGGTACCCCATACAAGCCCTTTTTGTCTTAAACTTTTTCCCTTAAGCCGAAGCCTTCAACTGAAACCTCTCACAACCCTCAAACACCGAAACCATCCGAAAGAGCTCAAACCCTAGCACGCCAGGTCCATGCAAGCTCGAGTCGCCAGACACTGCTCAGGTGCCCTCCGTAGACGGCTGGGAGAATCCACTGGGCGATGCCGCCATCCTCCTGGTATGCTACACTGCTACATGGAGACTCTACAATCGTGGAATGCAGGGCCTGAATGATATGCGATGGCGTTTTGGTGGTGCATGTTGGTGAATCATACATTATAAGCATACTGGGCCAGGGATTAGAAGGGCCGGTGGTCGGTGGCAGAGCCCTTTGACCCCTTCCCAACACAAGCTGAAGCCAAGATCCGCGCTGTGACGGACTGGGCTTCTACGCGGAGGGCTTTACACTGGCAAACCCGTGAAGACTCGAAGACACACCCGAGCCTCCACTCCCCCTGGACGGAAACTCAAATCAGGATGCTAGGACACGAGGCCCGAAGCAAAACTCGAACTCGTGACGTCTCAGGGACTCTCCTCCCGCAGCGCCGCATAGACCTGGCGAGGGCAACTCCCGCAAATCCTGATCCCCGTACCCCATACTTCCTGAGGGTCTTGTTGCAGGGTAACGACCACGGGTAGCTTGAGCTCAACTTTCATTAATTAGGACTCAGGCCCGGCATTGAGTCCAGATCCGCAGAAGGGCCCTTTGGATGCAACGTGGCGCAGTTAAACAAAACGGCCCAAAGAATGAGGAGGGGGGCTGCAGCATACAGGGAGCGTTTGACTCGTCCGGCGCATGGCAACCGAAAGCAACAGCCTGAAGATTTGGTGTGCCGTGAATGCTGTGCTGCCTGCAAATGCCCTCCGCATCACACGAACACACACACGCACAGACACTGTCACACACACACACACACACACTAACACTAAGTATACCACTCTTGTGGAACATGGTAGCGGCTCTACTTCCATTGCTATGCATCGCAGTGTTTTGCATCCTGCATGGCTGAGCCAGTCGCGAAGCATAGTTACAGCTGAAAGTAGAAGACTAGCGTACATTTCATCCTGTGCGCCTCCTTCTGCTGACGGTGGCTCCTTTCCTGTTCTTGTTGTTTGTGGCTGTCTTGGCGCTGCCCCTGGTCTGGCTGTGATCTTGCGTGCGAACTCCGAACTCCATCACTCCATCCTCGCCTCCAGGGGGCTGTCGTAGATTCGGTCCGCATCCAGCCTCAAGCACAAAGTCGTCATTGTGATTACAACTACCATTGTTGCCTGCTACTAACCCTTATGTGTATTCAACCTATCCACAAGCTGGTCAAGGAATGTCAAGGATAGCTTTGCTGCTGCCCACCTCGAAGCTTTGCGGAGCACTGGCAGCAAAAGGGTGCACTGTCTGAAGCAACCAGTGCCGTGCCACTGAACACTCCAAGCAGGAGTTCGCAGAGAAGGATCTTTCCAAACGCTACAGAGCCACGGTTCAGTGTAAACCATTGCATTGAAGGCATCCCTGCAAAGCAAGAAGCAGTCAGAGTTGTTCCAAAGTCAAACAAGCCGAAAACCAAGACACTAGCTCACTAGCTTCCAGCCCGTCTGTTGGCGACGTGCCGCTGCGTTGATGCCGAGAGGTCTGGATGCGCGTCCAGGTGAACCATCGCCAGATCGCCGAAGGGAATCTTTGCAAAGATTCGAGAAGTGAAGATACCGCGGTTTGGGGCACCCTGTGCCTTGCTTCTCGAGTGTGTCTGTCTCTGCGTCGCTCTCTCTTCTTCCTCAGGGCGTGAGGGGTCTGTCGCTCTCTCTCGCCCTCTCTCTCTTTGGTCTGTTGTCAGTTAACGTGCCTCACACCCCACAATGCAGGCCTCCCTCTAACAGGGATGATTCCAACGATTGGCGACATTCTGAGGAGCAAAATAACAAATCGGGCGACTCGGGACACTGCCACCGCCCCGAAGACCAACCCGCCAGATGCGTATCCTTGAGTCGCAGTGAGATGATGTGAGATGCTTTCCTTGACTTGCAGACTGGTGGAGCTGGCCTGAACCAGGAGAGCATGGAATGTGTTGGGGAGATTCGATGACACCTGAATCGAGTTCGGTGGACCCCCGCAACCAAATCGAATCATCCGCATCCCTCAGCCGATCCCTCATGCCAGCGTCTTCTGAGCGCCGGATGCCATCCCCGCCATCCCCACCCACAGTTGCAACACCCAGCGCTGCGACTGTGCATACTACTGTTCCCGACCTGGAACGACACGAAAGAGGCGCCTCGCGCGAGAGAGAGAGAGAGAGAGAGAGAGTGCGCCTCCTTCTTTCGCGTGGTTGTTCGTGACACCAGAGCCTACCGTTCCTGTAGTAGACTGCTGAGTGGCTGCTATCCATCTCAAGTATTGCTCCTGCTACTTCTGCTTTGAAGGTGACGGTTGTGCATCGTGAATCAAGCGAGCCTACTGTCCTCATGCCTCTTACGGCTACTGCTGTTAGAAATGGATTTACCCGAGGGTTCTCTGCCGCTGTCATTGTGTCACAGAGACCGCAGAAAGCCCTCTACTCTAAGGAGGCTGTCGGGTTCCTCTCTGTCGGGTTCCATGGCAAGGCCACACACCCCCCAACCCCGCCTCGGTCTCGCCTCTAAAAGGATAGTACAGACGACTGGCGACATTCCGACGAGGGAAGCTGGCCAACGTACAAACCCGGGCTCATCGACCGGGTGACTCGGCAGAGTGTGTTCTACAATGGCCGACAATGAGTACAGCCTGATTGCAAGACAGGGCTCCGTTGACCCTCGTGGGCCTGTCTGTTGTTCAACCAGAGCAATCATGAAGATATCAGGCGGACTGGACAGGAAGCAACACTGATGGCAAGGGCCTCAACAGGCCTCAACATGACGACATGGCAGATCTCTGGAATCGGAATGCCCAGCCTTGCGTCGCCGAATGCAGAAATGCAGAAAGCGAAGGGCCTGGAGCAAACTTCCGCCACTGAATACGTTCTGCATGAGGATGACGGCAAATTGCGATGGACTCTGACCACAGTAATCCTGGTCTTCACTCGGGAGACTTTGTGCAAAGGGAAGCAACCAGAGACTCCCAGAACCTCAAATCTGGTGCAACCTTATGATTCTGCTCCCTGCGCTACCTTCAGTCTCTGCGTGGCTCAGGCAAAGTTCACAATCGGAGCCTCGTCGTGGTACTCGCAGACAAAGACCGGCAGCGGCCCCTTCCTCCGCTTGGCCTCTTGCAAAGGACGGCTGCAGGGGTCTATGCTGGTGTTCGGTCTTTGTGGCCGGCTTGATTAGAAGGTGTCAAGACATCGGCTACGAGAGGCTCGACAAAGGTGCATGGCAGTTGCCGTCCAATGCAAGAGCAACTTTTGTCCAAGCTGAAGTTGGTCTCCCGAAAGTCAAAAACTCTGGGTTTGGGAAGGCTACGGCTACGGCCATTGGCTGTTCTGGGAGAGGCAACCCACGTACTTCTCCCACCTCGGCCTCCGGTGCTCTACTGCAGCTGCTCCCAGCAGACGCATTGCTCATCGCCCAACCGGCTTCTGGCTTGGAATGCGATTCTAGTCTAAGGCTCCGCAAGATCATCAAAAACGGGGTCTGTGGGCAGGATAGTGCTGCTGCGGCATTGTTGCCATTCTTGCGATGATACGACAGTCGCACTACCAACGTTAATCAACATGACTCGAGGTGCAGGTAGGGGCCGATTGCTGGCTCAGTGTCTGCCATGACGACTAAGGGTTGCAGCACGCAAGGGCTCATCACAGAAAGTTTTGCAAGCGTCATGAGCGTCTGGCTTCTTCCGGCTGTGCTCTGGCGACTCTAGCGGAATTCCGACTCCATTTCTGACAGTGAAGCACTTGAGGGTGAGAGTGGCAGACAAAGGTTTCCGAGCCCTAGGATGGAGCTGGCGACTCTCGTTTTCCGGCTGCAGGATCAGCTCGTGGGGTGCCGGGCTCACACATCCTGCACAGAGGCGCACGTCATGGGTCTCTGCGCTATCGGGAGGCGGGGCGCCGCAAGTTCCACGACCCAGCGAGACGACAGGATGGCAACTCACATCTACACCGAATCTACACATGATTCATGATGCAAGTTCGGGGTTCCCCAAACAGTAAGGCATCACGGTAAGACTGAAGCTCACTTTATCCTGCGAAAAGTCCCTCTCGTCATGTACTGGCCCTTTTTGGCAGCGTGGCATGTTACCGGCGCCCCAATCTCAAGAACTCGACTCGGCCCAACACGAGGACACCGTACCCCAAGAACCCCCATCTGAAGCACCAGATCAACCTGGAACCCTACCCCGAGGAAGTCCGACGCTGGAGGCGGGTGCACTATGAAATCCTCGCAGCTGCGCGCTTTACCAGAGTTTGCCGACGACAGGAACCGACGACGGGCGCGTCGTGCTGCGAACCATTCCCCGAAATCTCACAGAATGTCAGCAGATGGTAAGGAAAGGAACCACCTGGAACACGGCTCCACTTCCCTCGTCCGCCTTGATCACCACGATGCGATCCTCCGCGGTCCAAACCCGCGGCTGCAGCTTCTCCTTGGGGTTCACCACCCACACCTGCTTCGGAGAACTCTCACAAAAGCTGGCGGTTAGAGTCAAAAGCATCGAACCCTTCAGTTTCAACCCTTCAGTTTCAAGCCGTCAAGACTAAGATGAAACTTCCTGAAGAAGAGCAACAGATTTAGCGATAGACGAGGGTTTGGGAGACGACAACATGGAATGATTTGGGAACGATAAGTGGTCCTTTTACTAGTTCTCTATGTTCTAATCAACGACACGTCTCCGCCTTGTTGCCGTCGCTGTCTCCTGGAAGGTTGCCAAAGGCAGCGTTAATGTAGACCCGGGGCCATACGGTTGATGATATACATCCTGCATTACCCTTACCAAGGAATATACCATAATTCCCATAGTTTAGGGTCCTTAAGGTAATGCAGGATTTGTATCAGCAACGGTAGTATAGAGGCCGTATTCGCAGCGTGTTTTGGGGTGTATGTGACTCATGTGACATTCGGCAGCTCGGCTGGTGGCAAAATGCTGCGTCAAGAAGTCAAACAGTAACAGTATCCTGGTTCAATCCGGGTGGAGATCAAAAACCTTTTCTTCTGCTCGTTGGCAATGCGGCAAGGGTGCCCAAATGCATGCCAAGTCTCTCTCCGACCAGCCAATTACAACCTTGGACGGCTTGGGGGTTTAATCGGAGCTTGGAATAAATCAGCGTCCCCTCTCTAGGGTGTTGCCACAGGTTCATACCGAGGTGAATGTCCCTAAGCTCACGACATGACCCGAAACGGCCAGCTGCCATCAAAGCCTTTTTGAATCCCAGATCATCCATTCAAGCACGTTGGGATTTGGTGAAACTTCCAAAGCCCAAAGCTTCTCCTAACAAACCCCGGGCCCCAAAGTATCAAGCACCCGCCTGCTGGGCAGCGCGGTTCACCATGGCCGTGATCTCTGCGAAAGATATCCTCGGACTCCGTGCTTCAGGGCAGTGTTCCTTTGGAAAACCAATAGCTGGTGTGGCTGCTGAAGGTCAAGTGTTTTTTTGGCTCAAGCTCTGCAACATTTTGGATGTACAGCACAGGGTGCAGCTCCAACGACATCCGATTACGACAAAAAATCCCATGCTGAGCTGTCTGCGACCGAGCTGTCCCCGCCTTTAAACACAGGTGCCCTTGGGCCAAAACTGTCTGAAGCAATCCGGACTCGTCGCCGCTTCTTACCCAGCGGAAACCACTACTCAATCCGCGTTGCTGCGATGGCAGCCGCTGTTGGCCGAGATAGTCTCCCAGGGTCCTCAAGAGAAGCCCGGCTTTCATGGTGGTTGCACCAGCTCCCGACATGGACTTCGCAACAGCCAGGGCCACATCGGAGTGAGCCCAGCGTGGAACTACAGAGCGCGTCAAAAAAGCCCCGTGCCTTCTTGCACCCTGTTCACATGAGCCGACTCCACCGCACGCCCCAGGTGTGGGTAGGATGCAAATGTCGGCACCGGACAGGCAGCCACCAGGGCTATGCGGATGATCTGGTGCAAAGCATGACTATGACGATGAATGCGTGATCCCCATTGATCGTCACTGCCCACACGCTCGAAGACACTCGGAAATCTTGGGAAATAAGCCCCACACACCTTGAAGACCCCGAGTTTTAGGGAGGAAGAAGCAGGGCAGCATTGCTGTCATTAGACCAGCACCCGGAAGAGCCGGGGCACATGATGTCCATGTTGTTGCCCGTGGCCGAAAGCAAGTCAGAAAGCACACCGTGAGCCAGGGTGTCGATGGCTACGAGGGCCTGGGCACTGTCTCAGACACTCAAGGGCCTCAATGTGGATCCGATACAAGTAGGTGCTGGGGCCTACTAGGGACTTGACTGCCCTGCAGAGCCCCCACCTGCCCCAAGAGAAACCCCTAATGCTAGTCAACGCCGCTCTATCTGATGATGGCAGAAGACTTGATATGCAAGCCGAACTCGTGGGATCACGAGAATGCAACGCCCCCAAATCTACCCAAACGGGACTACAAGAAGTCCGTCAGCCAGCAGCAACAATATCAACGGCAATAGAAGAGCAGCAGCAGCAGCGGCAGCGGCAGCGGCAGCGGCCACGGCAGCAGCTGCCAACGACAACTTTTCCCTACTTCTCTTGCCGTTGCTACTGCTATTGCTGCTTGTTCTGCTCCTCCTGCTGCTACAACAACGACGACGGACGACGACGACGATGATGACAACTGCCACTGCCACTGCCCTCCTCTGCTCTTCTTGCAGCTGCTGGTCCTCGTACTACTGCGGCTGCTGCCATCAGACTTCCGAGCTTTCTGAGTGGAAGCTCCCCACACTCGACACTACGACTCCAAGACAGCGCCCACAAATCTGCGACCCTAGGCCACATACCATACTTCAGGGTTCTGATTCCGAAGCCACGGATGCCAGGAAGGAACGACGGGAAATGGCTGAGAGCCCGGTTGCCGAGGGGCCATTGCGCGTGACATCATGGAGATGGTGTTGATGGTGTTCCTAAGACATCTGGAGCCATTCGGATTTGGTTGTCAGGGAGTAGTGAAAGAAGGGCATTGGATTCAGGATTTCGAGCTTGGGGTTCGCACACCGACGCTCTGAATACACGTTGCGCCTGCAGATTTTGGATTTGGCAATTGAGCCACCCCTAACCCCAAAACCCTAAACCCTTTTTTGAACCCAGGCTCTGACTCTGATCATCAACCCTTTGTTTTTTTGAACCCAGACTCCCTAAACCCTAAAGCCTCTGCCTCGGGGACTCTGAGAAGAAGCGCTTCCGAGGCGCTCGATCCCGAGAAGCCCCAGTTGCTCGTGGGCGTTACGGGTGCAGATCTCGACCTCGCTTGCTTCTCTCCAAAGAAGTTTAGGAGTTTGTCATGGTTCCATACACTAGACTGCATTCTATATACTATATACTATATAAACTACATCCTATGTCTCAAGTCCTATACCCTTTGTGCTACATACTACACGCTACACGATACTGCATCATAACACTATGCTATGTGGGGTTCCTTCAGCTCTAAGGACCTGGATTGCCTTCTTTCAAGAGCTTAGTCTCGGATGGTTTAAAGATTTTAACGATTCCATATACTATCATATACTAAACCCTAAACCCTAAACTGTACTTAGGCTTTCTTGCAGCTCTACGGTTGAAGATCTTCAGGATTAGGATCTAGGGCTGAGCATGGGTTCCAAGCGCCACGGGCGCTTAAAGGGCGACGAGAGCGGAACTTCCCTTGTAATAGACTGAAACTGAAACATACTGCAATAGCCGATTTTGCTCCATGCTATGATATAAATATATATATATATATATATGCACATATACAAATATAAATAACAATATATATATAGATAGATAGGTAGATAGATAGATAGACAGTATCCTGTTCTAAACCGCACCGGGCTGTACAGTACTACGGGGTATCAGCCGGGAGCCCGGCGAGCGGGTTGAACTCCAGGTCGGGCGCGCGGGCCTGGAGAGCGGAGCGCTCGGATGGATCTTTGCTAGGGGAAACGGTATCCTGACAAGTCTGTTTCGGAGGGTTTTGGGGGGTTTTGGCTGGATGGGAACTGTGGGTGTGTACTCTCTTTCCTGGCTTGCAAACACAGCAACCGCTTTTATGGGATGCTGTTCTGTCCCTGGGCTTGTTTTTGATACTAGTAGCAGTAGAAAATGTGTCCATGCAAGTTATAGGACGATGACCAGAGATCTATGCAAGCCTGTGTGGCAGTCTGGTTCATAAGCATTCTTACTGTTGTCAATTGTCCGGCAATGCAGGTCTGTCAGGTCCTGCTGGTACCTTCCATAGTGTCTCATGTTTTCGAAGCCTGCCGCGGTTGTAATGCACTCTGCAAGTTGTTCATCCTGATCAGCTTTGCTCCTTTTGTCCAAGTGAGCTGGAACCTCGAAAAAGCAGATGCTGAAGGACTTGCGGACAGGCACAGTGCCAAACTGGATACTGTAGGATACTCGCTGAAAAGGAAAATCCAACAGAAGCACAGCCCGACTGGAGCATCACCTTGGAAAAGGAAAAGAAGGCCACGCAAACCAAGAAGGCAGCCGAGCACATCCGAGCACTGAAGGCGACGGAAACACGAGGCCATCACCCAAACGAACAGGTGACATCCCAGACTTGAGAGTCTACGTTAGCAGCTTTGCCAAAGAGGCAGGGAACTGTTTGTGGGAGGTCGGACAGACATGTTCCGGGATCGGCACGAGCGCAAAACCCCTGGCAGCAATGCCTTCAGGAGCATCTTCATCTGCAGGATGATGGCCACCGTCTGCTCGTCGGCCTGCAAGACACCGCAATCTCTGGCCCCGAACTACCTGCAGGTCAAAGGACAGAAACAAACACAAGTCGGGCATGTGCGAATGTTCGACCATGTGTCTGCGTCCACGGCCTTCTGAAAGCCAAGGGCGCTGTCAGCCAGGATGAAGTGGAAGTCGTAGTCCCTCAAATTTCAGCTCAAGCTTCACATGCCTTGTAGTGGCTTGCCACAGGTCACCAACATGAACACACTTATAACATGCCACACCCGTGCGGAAGAGTAGAGCCTGGCCCCCGCCACCAAAACAAAGAGATTGAAAGGTACACTGCCATGCTACAATCGGTGAAATTCTGGATGCCTTTACTGTGCTAAGAAGCTTGCTTGAAACAATTGTTAAAGCGATCTGAAATGCAAGTTGCTATCTACCCCCCCTGTAAACACCTATCGAAACCACACAACACTACTAAGATTACCGCTGCCACGACGACCACGACTACCACTGCCACTACATCTCCCTGGCCAAACCTCTTCAAAGGGCTGAAGAGGCATCATGTTGAGCTTGTGCTGCGCGGTCATCTGGTGCTGGGCCGTGGTGTAGATTCGCCTCACCTCTCCGGAAACTGGCATGTACTGTGGATTTGGGTTCATTGGCCGGGGGCCGACCTCGATGTTCTTGAGCGTGCGGTCCTGCTCCTCTTCGGCGTTGCTCACGATGGCCCTGGCATCTTCGTCCTCGATTTGCAGGCAGTCTGTGGGTCTTGGAGGTCATGCATGCACGCATACAGATATACTGGCACATGCTTACATTCGAGGTAGGGTTCGGCATCTCAGCTGCATCTGCCGTACACCGTACACCCCAGAAAGCCCTTACCCAAACATACCCACGCATGCCACAGGCACATGGAAGTGCAGTCAGTGAGGCATGACTGCATAAACGCAAAGTCACGAAAGCACGTCTTCTCCGAAGCTGCCTAGCTTGTTGCAATCGAAGTTTTGCCCAGGGTCCTGACTTTGGGCCCTAGCCTGTAAGTTGCCGAGCCTGCAGTGTGTCTCAAGGTGTCCCACACTGCCACCATAAGTTTCTGCAAGACCTTCAAGAGAGGCAACCTCCCCAACTGTCCCCCACTAGGCCGAGCCATCCCTGCCCGGAACTTGCCCTTAATCTGCAGAGCAACTTCAGACCACGCCATCAAAGGACAGAAACCCAGCAAAAGGCGCAACCACATTGCACCTGCAATCCGCAAGTACAACAAAAATTGACATCCATCCCTCTCTGAGGCATCTCCAAACCCGAAGCCCCAGAAGCCAGAACTCCTGCACACGGGCGTTCAATCAAGAGGCCGACAAAAATTAGAACCGTACAGACCCCATGCAAGGACTATGAAAAAAACCCTACGACACGCTTTCATCACAGCCAAGGAAAGCCCAAATTCTCATGAACCCGAGGCCTCCCCCACCACCGCCCTCCTCAGGCCAAGCGTCCGCCAGCGAGCAGAAGATGTCACAAACCTTTGGTCTAAAGTCTGATTGTGGGGCCTACGGGATGCCACCGATGGTGCACTGTTTAGATCTTAACGGGCCCCCTGGTTTTCTGCAACTCCCCCATCGTCCTCATACCCCGCTGCCCCTGATGCTTGGTACTGGCTGAAGAGCTGTTGGAGTTCGGATGCGGGGAGTTCCGAAGGTCGGCCCTGGCGGCTCGCGCAAAACTTAAAGCGTCAGAACAGTTGCAGGCAGGCTGCGGATCCCGAAGCGACCATCCTCGAATCAGTGGCTGCGGTGTTTAGACACATCCCAATCCCCCCCTAGTTGCAGGCGAGGAAAGGGTGTAGTCTTGCTGCAACTGGCCAGATGACATTGTACGTAAACTGCAAGAGTCTGCATTTAATGTTAAGCTACTTGCATCCAACGTTGGAGTATTTGTGCCACGAATACGGGGGACTTGGGTCACCTCAGGCTCAAAACAAAACACTCAGGAGCGCAAGTGGAGAGACAGCTCCAGTAGGAGCTGTCGGCGAGGAACTGCCCTCCGATGCTGCGCCGAAGCACTCGTCCAAAGCGAACAGGATGGCACAGCCGTATCCTCATGCTCTCGCGAATGGCGAATAGCGAAGTAGCAACACGACAAGAAGCCAGGCTGTTTGCTGCATGCAAAATTTAACCATCTATGCAAGGAAGCACCTCCAGGCGCAACTCAGGCTAACCCCGACAGCCTGACAGCCCTCACAGGCGGTCCTCGTTCGGTGAAGTTGCAGATCAAAACCTGCACTTTCTCCTGGAAACTCAGTGCTCAACGGCTCGGGCTGAGAGACGTTCCGTTAGTTGACAAGAGGGCATCTGCCTCGGATGATGTCATGATGGTGTCCGCGGAAGGAGGATGATGATTCTCATCATCACCATCATCATCACTATCACACCGCCACCACTATCCCGAATTCTGGCGTCGCCATCTCCGTGCCGAGGTTGGTGGTGATGCTCGCCACGGTCGCGGCAAAAGTGATCACCGGCGATGGTGGTGATAACGAAGATCGCGAGGCTAAGGGGTGACTCTGAGAACAACACATGGGTGATTGGTGATTCCTCATGGGCGACGGGCGACAGACACTGGGCGAAGATGATGCCAAGTAGCACGATCGAAGTATTCAAATCTAGCCTTGTCAGTGTTTGTCCCTTTCGAGAACCGATCAATGCACCAACGCCCCAAAGCAAAAGAAGTGAAGGAGGTCTTCGGATGCTGCCGTGTCGCATTGTCGTTTGGGTCCGCCTCCACAAAAGTGGAAGCCCCGTACTTATTTCGCCAGGCCTGAGAGTCTCAACTCAGGGACTCAAGCGTGCGGATTTGACTCGTGTTAAGCGTCAAGCCCACCAGGGAGGGCAGAGCGGGCCCGGGCAATTCCATGCTCTAGAAGGCATTGCCAGGCAGAGCCCGATCTTAGGGTAGGGATTTGCTCCCTGGTTGTCAGGTGTCTGAGGGCTCAAGACCCGGGAAAAAGCACAACGAGACGCACGAGCCTGCAACAAGCACAAAGCAGCGCACATCCAAAGATGCTTGTTTCAAGCGTGCGCCTTCCAATCAACACAGACTTCGCCATGAACACTTGGCAGCACCTCCCCCCGGGCTTCCAAGTCAACCCGTCATGGCGATCGAGAGTGCGATCATTCTTGTGTGCCTCTCGAGCGACGCGACTCTTCTTTCTTATGTTGTGAATAAATGCCATGCTTTCCAAACATTTCACCCCTTCGGGGAATTTGCGAGACTTCTTCAGCATTTCGGGATCTGTCTTGAAGACATAGGCAAACCTGGTTGCTCCTGCGTAATTAGACCCAGTTCCAGCTCTGCTCGAGCTGCTGCGCACCGCAACTCCATGTTTCGGCAAAGGTGGCATAATCGTCCATGCTGTCTTTCAATGCAGTTCGCTACATACATGACTGCGTATGCGGGCAAGTCGTGGCACATCGTTCAACGGTTCAAGAAGACCGTGGAAGAAATCGTGGCCGCTTTGGCCGTGAGGTGATGTGAGATGCTTTCCTTGACTTGCATCCGCATCCCTCAGCCGATCCCTCAGCCAATCCCTCATGCCAGCGTCTTCTGAGCGCCGCATGCCATCCCCGCCATCCCCACCCACAGGTGCAACACCCAGCGCTGCGACTGTGCATACTACTGTTCCCGACCTGGAACGACACGAAAGAGGCGCCTCGCGAGAGAGAGAGAGAGAGAGAGTGCGCCTCCTTGTTTCGCGGTCATCAACAGATGGAAGCATTGTACTGGTGAAAACCTTCCATGCGGTTCTGGTCGTTAAATCGTACATATAGATTGCGGAGCCGAAGACAGCGGGCTTCCGGGTGTACCCCCCAATGTTACTTGCATCCACCCATTCGTGACACCGAGTTGCCTGTAGACTCCTGAGATCTGCTAAGTGGCCGTTATCCATCTCACGTGTTGCTCCTGCTGCATCTTTTCTTGCCCTGCTATTTTTGCCTCCTGCATGGCCGAGCTAGTATTCAAGGTTACGGTTGTGCTTGCTACTGCCATTACACCGTCTCTTGCCCAATCTGGTCGCAACTGCCTGGAAATCCATCATTGGCTCCGACATGCGCTGGATGGCATCGTCATCCTACACAGGCATCGACATTTACGACTCATGGTCAGCCCCCGGCTATGCGGCTAGGCTCACTCAGAACCTGAAGAAGGAACGGTCAAGGATGCGTGGGCTACGGCTGCGTGCTACATCGTCCGGCGTCCTCGGCCAGGACGATCACCTCATCGTCCTGCACACGGCATGCAGCGAATGCATGCTCGCGCAAACTGGTACCTGGCGCACAAAACCTACATCGAACAGGGCCAAGGGGGCGGGAATTCCATCGCTCCAACTGCAGGACCAGCTCGCCACGCCAATTTTTGGTGTCTTGCTTGCTTGCTATGCATTTGCTATGCATGGGGCCCGGGCCCCTTCGCCCTGCGCTCATATGCTACGCCGCTACGCGGTGGTCCATCGAGTCTTGGTGTGAGACATGACATGGATCATTGCTGATGTTCCGGGACACGGGGAGCATCCTCGCTTCCAGATTCTGATGCAGCCCCCTCCGACAGCACTGGTCCCTTGTGCCGCACGGGGACAATTGACGAGATTGAGATGAGAGTCTCTTTACGATCTCACACAAGGTCCGGGAACGTCGTTCCGGGATTGAAGAGAATCAAAACATCTCAAGGCGGGTTCTTCGTAGCCCCGTCTTTCCTTCGCCTTGCAACCCGAAGTAGCAACCCCAAAGCGGGGCTCGGTCCATCTTCACTTTGTAGGATTTCTCCGGGTTGATGATGTAAGCACCTACGTAACACGGACATCTGCGCCGGTAGGAAAAGGATGCAGGACAATATGAATGCATCACGAGGACTCCATCCGTGCAGGATCCCGGCCTGAAGCATCTCGGATACCGATCGGCACCGTTTTCTCACACCAGAAGGGCACCTCCTGTGTCGGTGAGTCGAGCTGCGCGAGCTTCAAAGCTTATCGGGCCTTTCCTCGCTATTCGCCACTGCATGAATAGCTTCGTGGTCTCGAGCAAACCCCTGAACCGGGCAAGGACAAAGCCCGACTTCTATTTTCCAAGATACCTATTGCCTTACAGCAATGCGGCGGGGGAGGAGCTTCATTTGGATCGAGATAGTACTACGACTCTCGTTCGATTTGGCAGTGAGAACCTCCGACCAACCAAATCGCCTCGCCTGTGCCAGTCATTTAAAGCCCTCGATGCCTCAACTGCGACCCGCTTTCAAGTCCAAAGTCCACGGTGGAACTTTAAGCCCGAAACAAAACCGGGTTGGGCCTGGAAAGTCCTGCCCACCACACCTATGTCCAAGGCTTTTGCAGCATAGAACTCGTCACCCTCAAAGCCAATGATGGCCTCGTCTCGAGGCTTGCTTTCAAGCGATCTGGTGCTGCTTCGGTGTCACCTAAACCGCTTCACGCAAGATCACGATGGCCGTTCTGCGTTCATTGGTGCGGGGAGCGCGAACTGCAGCCAAAAAAAGGTCACAGTCCGTCCCGCAAAGACTGCTGACGCTGTCCAGTAGAGTCAGAGCCCTTGAAAACATCAGATGTCATTCTAGTCAGTCTCCCTGCAGTGCGCGAGAAGCTGGGAAGTGCTACTCGACCAGGCGGCACAAACGCAGAGTCTGGAGGTGCCTTCATGAATTTTCACATAACCCTTGACCTGGAAGCGTGGCTTGACACCAAGGGTTCACGGCTCAGGCCCGAGCATTGAAGATGGGGCAGAGGCCCTCGTCAGGGCGACGGCCGATTCTGAAGCTGGTGAGTTCGACGCCATCAGCCACAGTTAGCAAGATCAGCACCACCTGCCGCCTTCTCAAGTGCTCACGATCAGAATCATCAGCACCAACCCTTTCAACGCCAGCTCTGATCTATCGAAGGTCCAGGGCTTCCCTTCCTCCCGAAGTCTTCCCAGCCCCTCGAAATTCAGGCCCCCCCCCCCCTCAAACCCCGTCTCTGCCTGATCCCGGGCGCTTTGCACCATCAGCCGACCGAGGCGTTCGCCGCTCAGGACGAAGGTCTTCCCTGCTCCCGAAAGGGGGCGTGTCTCTGCTCTGCAGGTCGGCCATGTCACTCGTCGCTGCTTCTCATGACAGGGTCTCTTTTTAAATGGACAGGGAAGCCTTCCTTCCTCTAGAGTCTCTAGATAGCACACAACGACGACCTGGGTAGAGCTCGTTCATAAAGCCCACATTCTTTCCCAGGCAGCACCTCGGCTTGCTCAGAGGTGCCACTGAGAGAACCAGGAGAACCCGAAAACTTCCACAAAGACTGGCTCACGCTACGCAGCAGCCCGGATTCCGCGCTTTAAGCCTTAAGCTTCAGATTCTTCAACCCCTGCCCACACCCTTCTGAACCCGCTGCATACGAGTGACTGGACCGAGATGTGGCCGTTGTTCGGCCAGCCCGTCTTGCCCTGACCTGAACAGAGCACGGGCTGAGCCACGTGCGGTGACAGCGACGTGAGAGACAGGTTGGATCTCTGGAAAGAGCAAGGGTCCTCTGAAGCCTTCTGAAGCTGTCTCCGGGAGCCACCGGCCCTGTAGTAGAGCTTTCTCCTCAATCCCATCGCGCCTCGCAATGTGAGCAGGGTGCCAAAGGCGATGGAATCCGCCTGCCATGCGGCAAAAATGGAGTGGCAGTTTAAGCCGCTTAAGCAATGGCTTGCCTTCTCTGCGGCCGTCAGCTACCCCTCTCGCATCGAGGGCTCCGAAAACTTTGGCGGCACAGCGTTCGGCTGGGTCACCCGACTTACACCTCGCATCGCCCCTCAAACGTTAGTGAGTTGTCTCAGAATTTTCTCGAAGTCGCCCCTTCGTCCAGAAACAAGGGTGGAAGCCTCGTCCCGAGGCAAAGATGGCTCATCTAAGATCACGATCCTGCTTCGCCACGCTTCGGCACCGATTTTTTTCAAAGGGTCTGCGTGAGGATGCTCTCGACGAACGCACCACACCCGATAACCTAACTCCGGCTATGATGGGAAAAGCTCAAAAGAAGCGATGTAACAGCCTCCCATCTGATGGACTAGCTGCTTCCAGCCTCATGAACGGGTGGGACTGAAGCCTGTTGGGGATTCAAGTTCTTCGTGTTTTGGGTTCGGAGTTTGGGGCCGGGGTTGAGAGCTTGTTGCTTCAACTACGGTTTACAAGTGATATGACGAGCTCCGAGCCAGCCACGCTCCTGCTGCAGACGTCCGCGCCCACTTTCCAGAGGTCCTGGAAAGTGACGAGATTTGTGCTTTTCACGACATCCACAGCATCAATACATGCCCCCATGGCCCATTCCGCTACAAGACTGCAAAGGCCGTAACCGTAACCCACACACATGATGGCCGATGACAAAGCCACCGCCCACGGTCCTCAGCCGACGAAGGCAGCCCGCCACGGCAGACGATCCTCGGAGCAATCTTCGACTCAAGCAGGGCCAAAACGGCACATTATTAGCCCAAGGCTTGGCGCACCCAGCGCCCTTCGCAGGCGATCCCAATGGGGCAATCTGCCACCCTGAGGAGCAGCCTATGCGCTGTCTGCGGGTCGTAATGCAAACATCTCCTGGCGGTCCTGCACCTCGCCTCTATAAAGCCTGAGGCTGAGTCTAAACTTGAAACCAACTCGGTCTGAAGACCGACCATTCTTCCGACCACTGCACTTTTTGGCAGGAGGTGGTTGGGTAGGTGCTGTCTGGATGGCAATCAATGACTATCTCTGACGCGTGCCTTCCAGAACCTCATTTCGAGAGGCCCTTTGCCGGCAGAATGATGACTTTGTTGTAAGTGCATTCCAAGCTACTTGAGGTCTCCGGTATTGGTGTTTTGCCGCTTGATCTCTTCTTCGATCCTTAGATCAAGCACCGGGGTGGCCTTTGCAAGCCCACGCAGATGAAACACCCGGCAGGAGAGCGTTGCATATGCAATGTTCGTGGCGAGGACCTGCTCGAACCATACTTGCAGAATGACTGCAGGCCCACGCTGTGATCTCAAAAGCGATCGCATGTCACGGTGAGACCGTTGCATTTATGCCAGAGGGTTCTGAGCGACTTCGACAACTCCGGTTCGAGTGGGCTTCCATGCTGGCTTACCCAAATCCGCGCAGCGAAATCCCGGAGAATCTCGGCTGTTTTATGCACTACAACCAAGTCGTAAACAGACCCCAGCGTCTCAGACTTCGGCATCGTGCCCAGGATTGCAATCGTCTTTGGTGCAGAGTTCGCCTCACAGATGGCCAACCTGGCTGTTGGCAACGGTACCCACGTCCAGCATACAGGCACCAAGAAGCAAAAAAGGCAAGAGTTGTCATAACTGACTTCATGTGACCGTAACCCCTACTCAGTACTACTCCTCAAAAGCAGCTGTGGTAGGGGGAGGTGCAGGGAGACGCGAAGGCCCTCAGCATCTGCATCAATTACGCTCGTTGCACCCATTGAGGTTCATCGACAGGAAAGCATCGCACAGCATGAACTATGTCGAACCCTCGATCTTTACGATGGCCTGGAATTCAAGGACTCACATCCGGGTGACCACAGGACAGGGCAACCCGAAACCGAATCGCGAGCGGCACCATATGATCTTGAACAGCCTGACTGCATGGCATCAAGAAGAGACCCCGCACGAAATTCAGCACAGTTAGACAAACATGTTCCCAAAAAATGAAGAGCCACTCCAGAGGAAGGAACCTTAGAGACTCAAAAGCAGGCTTCTCCAAGAGACTCCTCCAAGAAGTCCTTCGTCTGAGAGGACAGGCCCAGCAGGACAAGGTGCCCTCCCTGGTGCTGTCAAGGTTGTCAGAATTTTGGAGGTTTCCGGACTTTTTTTGACCATGACTACTGAGCCGTAAGCCTGCAACTAACGATATATGCCTATTCCAATAAACAGCTCGTGGAGCAGCAGCGCGGCAAAGGCAAGCGATCGTTGCTTTGACAGCTGCTGACCGTTTCGTCACTTTGGGCTTGGCTAGTGGATGGAAGGCAACTGCCGGCCTCCACGATGGGATCGCGGCCCTCGTTGGACTTCCTGACGTGTCTGACTAACTGGCTGCAAGGGGCCCCGGGATCTGCCGAAGGCCACTTTGAAGACCGTGCTGGTTCAGATGACAGATGGGTTCCATGCCATTGGAATTAACGCTGTTCTGAACAAATGCCGAGATACTTCTGCTGTGCAGCGAAGAAATCGGAGATGGTTGTGAGCAGAACCTTCGGTCACGACGCAGCTGAGGGATGTGACTTTTTGCTTGCCTTTTCTCGGCCTGTCCGTTTTGTTTCGGGGTGCGGGGGCGGGCAAGGTTGTCGCTCCTTGGACACAACATGAAAGCTCGGGACAATGATGAAGACGAGCAATGATGCGAGCAAGAAGACGTGATCCTGCTGAAAAAGGATCCGCGACTGTCCGCTGTTCCTGTTATTCGGGTCGCTACACGAGCAGGAGGCTTTTGGCAGGAGTTTGCCTGGGCTTGCTTCTACGGTTTGCAGCTCAGCAGAGCAGATCAGCTGGGAAGCTGCCAGGAGCACCAGCCCTCCGAAGGTCAGGAGCATGCCGACTCCACCTCAGGGATTTTTCTTGGGGCGAATAGAGTTTGGCTCCGTGTTGGCGATTGCTTGATGCCTGAACCCTGACCCCAAATGCTCACCCAAAACAAGCAAACTCTCTTAGTCCTAACGCTTCACCCCCATACCTGAGCCTAAACTCCTGGAACAGCGAGCATCGCCGCCCCACCCCCCGCCCTTCTCCACCTTCCATGGCCGTCACTGCCGGGTCCACTGAGGCAGCGGAGGCCCAGACGGTGCAGAGCCAGAGCCCGCGCACGGGGGAGTCCTCCACTTGGGGGGGTTTGCCGATGGAATGCAGGGTTTTGTGAGGTTACTGGGTTACTAGGGTTGTTGTGGCGTCATGGGATTCGGGTCAAGTAGATTTCAGCACCCACACTCCGCTAAGCAGACGTAGGGTCTTGGAGACACAGACTTCCCATCTGCTAGTTTCCCACTCGAGCAAATTGCGCCAAGCTGCCATTCACTCAGCATGCAGCTCGAGCAGAGCATTTGTGTGCATGATATCCTTCTACTCTCCCAGTAACACCCAAATGACAGCAACATGCGATCACAACAAGGCTCAAGGTTCGGTGGCTTAGCCTAGAATGTCACCACCTCATCCCTATCCCTGGGTCCTACACGTCTGTGGTAAGAGTTTACACCTTAGGCGCTTTTGCCGAAGGTTTCGGCCCGGTGGGTCTCTCCAAGCCTACATCTTCGATAGCTGCGATTTCTACCTGACAGCTCTGCCCCAGAACAAACAGCGAACATGCTCTCACGGACATGCGGCATTGAGTGCCTTCACGATCCGTCGTGCGATCACATGCGGCTTCCCGGCCATAACTTTTGATGCAGCCCGGCCCATGACCCCGAAAAAAAGGCACGGCACCTAGCCTGCATGAGGATCGCGTAGATGAAAGCGCCTTCCGAAAGCTTCCGCACGCAGCCAGGCTAGGCTTTGTGAAGGCATCGGGGAAGGGGATTACGGGTTCAGAGTCCAGTGCGGTTTATGTATGGTTTCAGGGTTTGGGTCCAATGCTGGACTAGGTCACAGATCACAGCATTGTCAGGACAGGGAGCGGGCACTTACGACGGGCAGCCAAACTCCAAACACCGCCCCTGTTGAAGCAGACAGTCCTGCAAAGGCTACATTCCCCATTCAACGTGCAGCATCACGTTTTCCAGGGTTCACCACTGGCAGAAGCTGACAAGGCTACCGAGCTGTGCACTGTTGATGGCGTTGCACGACAATGACGACGACTGCTCTTGGTTCCTGGGGCCATGGCCGATCGTCAGAAGCGTGAGAATTCCAATTCCCAGCAGCTTGAACATCGCGCCAATGCCACCTCCGCGGTAAGGCAAGTATGCCCCAGACCTTTCCCAAAAATTCATCGCTGATTTCTTTCCCTCTTTCCCCACTTCAGCTCCCATCTTTTTGTTGCGTCGTGGGGGCGAACGCGTCTAAGCTGGCTGTCGGTCACTAGTCCTGAATAATTAAGAGGGTCGTCTCGGTTCTGCACATCACCGCCGTTCTTGTCGCCTATGGGCTCTCTGTCTAGGGTCGTCGTCCCAACTGAAGATCGTCTCTCCTCGCTCGTTCCCTCCTACCCGCCTTACTCACCTTCTCTCCCGCCCTCCTCCGATCCGAAGGGTTCTTTCCAGAATGGAGCATCTGATCAGCGCCTGAGGTCGTCCAGTAGTTGAAGTGGTAAGTGAGGTACTGCTGGAAGCTTCGACCTTCGATGTCTTCCTGCCAGACTTGCGCCGATGCCACACAGCCGAAAACCCCAGAACCTGGAACCATTTTATGGCATCCTTCAATCGTCGTTCTCTGAAGCGTTGGCCCTGACTGGCCGGTGACCAGAAGCTGGGCAACAAGCAGAAAAGCCGCTGTGGCCTTCAAGAAGTCCTCGTGCATGCGAAAATACAGAGAAGGAAGCCACCACGTCCACATCCACACTCCTCACACTCTTCTCAAGGGCGGAAGGTGCAGCTGGCATCACTGTCTGGTTGCAGGGGAGCCATGCCCGAGGATTCTTCAGCTTCCGTTTAAGGATCTCAGAGACTCCGCACCTTTCCCTCTCGATTTAGGATTTGCTGTGCTTGGCGCATGCTTGGCGGTTGCTGGCACTTCTCTTCTCACTTGTGTCCTCCGTAAGAAAAATCAACCGAATAGCATGGCTTGCTGCTGACTGTCGACTTTGAACCCGTTGTTGTGGTGTTCGTCTGCGCCGACGTGCTCCGCTTTTCAAGTTTACATTGAATGGGGTGATGTGTGATGCTGACAGTTCACTACGGCTCAACATGTTTGGTTTTGCACGCCAAGGTGCCGTAGGCCAGCACTATCCAGCCGATGATGGTGCGCACAACCACCCACCACCTCGCTGATGATTGGATTCGGGTGACGACCGATGGGTTGTCCTGCCGAAAACAAGGGTACCTGTGACATGTGGTGACGCCTATCAAAAAGGCGCTGTTGCGTGGGCAAGTTTCAATGTCACTGATCTGAACATGCCCGAATTGGGTTGTCGCGAAGTCCGAAACTTCAGCCCGGCCAGGTCGAGAGGCCGCCGGGCTGCAGCCGAGGGGCTGATGTTGGCCATACTGGCTCGCGGTCTCGCCGAGGATGGGCCGGAGGATCCTGGAAGCTCCAGTTTCAGGTGCCGGGCTTCGCATTCGCGCAGGGTGGGCGTGTTGAGTAAGATACGAGGCCGGAGACTCAGAACCCAAGAGCCCAGAACCTGAAACACAAACCCCCGTCACAGGTCGAAAACTCCCTTGAATTGCCCGTGCTGGGTCGGTCTTGGCAGAGAACGGTGTCACCACCGGTGCAGGTGCATATGTTGGGGCCGCCTTGACAAAGCAGCTTGCACCGCGAGATATCGCAGGAGTACACAATAACATGCACAATAAGACCATATATGCATACTGTAGCACACTGTGGTATATGACAGAGGGCAATGGCTCTATTCACTCTGGCATGCACTCCACGTGAACCAGTTGAAATGAAGTGGGTTTGGACTTTGCTTCCGAATATCCCGAGCAATTAAACTAGGGCTCGTGTCAATTGCTTGTCGAGAAGTATTGTTTAACCAGCAGTTTCTGCGGCCCATCTGTTGTTAGCACTGGGAGCATTCACGAAATTACCAACCCGAGCTCAACAACGACGCAGGACTGACAGGCTTACCTTCGAGTTTACTTCCAGGATACCAGGGACTCTATGAATCTTCGACTGGGAAACAGCTGATGACGCTAAAAGCTGCGGGAAGATACGACCAAAAGCGGGGCATGATGACACAGTGGCTGTTGCTTGCATTCTCGCAAGAAACGTGTGAAGTTGCGAAGCATAAGGCAAGAGAGATCAGAAGGCACTTGATGTGCCGCTGCCATCCGTGCGCTTCATTGAAGCCTTCACATGCCTTGACATCCTCTTGCTCCTTTCCTTGCCTTGGGCGGCCCTGCAGCCGAAGTGCTGCCGCATCCAGATTCGTGCTGGTGAGCGTGCACAGCGTACAACAAACTGAACATGCCGCTGCTACCCCGTCTTACTTTCGAGTGCTATTACACGTGACTTGCCACCAAAATCCCGACAACCAGGCCCGTTCGTTGCCCCGCACCTGAGGCGTCGCCACGGCGGGTGCCGGCAATGGGGCCTGGTGCCGACATATAACTTGCGCTTCATGAAACCAGGATGCTGCATGGAGGCAATTTCCGGACTCCTACTCCAACTTTCGAGATTTCTCACAACTTTCGATAACTCCGTGCTCTCGGCCACTGCCTTCTCCAAAGCCAGTGCCGACTCCTCTCGCGCGACCAGGCCGAATGCCTGGAGGAAGTCCCGGGACTCAGGCCTTGGGCCTGCAAAAGGATGTCGTGGCCGTTGTTGTCCCCCGCAAGCTCTTGCAACTTGCTGGCTTGGTTCCAAACCTTTCCAACCAATTGCAAACCGCGAAACTTGCGCCGAGACCACGGAAAGCCTGCTTTTTGCAAACCCCCAAAGAATCGAGTACACTTGAAGCGATTGACAAAGCTTGTGTATCACGACGCGCTGTTTACGATGCCGAAAACGACTTGGGGCAGCTTGGGGCTGGCAATTTTTCCCGAGGAATTCATTCCTCTTTCAGAGATGTGGGAATTGCGAACAACACACCATGTTTTCGTTAGTCACCTCGCCCCATGCTTCAACAAACTACTCCAACCCCGCACATCCCTGGCTACGACCAAGAACAAAGAGGAAGTGCGTGCAACCGGGACCGAAAGACAAACCCTTGGCCATTGACTTCGTCTCAAAGAGCAATTATCACAGCGGGGCCCAACAATCAGCAAACACCCAACCCTCCAGAAGACCACCCGATGCGTCCAAGCCGGGTTCCAATCTGTGGGCAGTGCAGGATGAGCCTCATAGTGCTACGCAGCTTGGCGAAACAACCAACAACCGTCCGAAATCGTCATCGCCACGCACATCGTCATCGCCATCATCATCGACTCCTGCATGGCACTCGGCGTGCCTGGGTGCAAAGGTACGCGGCCAGGAGTAACCGAACCTTGCCGAGCATCACACACGCAACCGATGAGTAACTTCACTTCTTTTCCGAAGCTGTGTCAACATAGCGTCCCCGTTTAAAGTTCATATGGGAATCCAAATTGCATAAAACTTCCTGAAGCATCGCTACCAAGCTGCATGCCCATGATACTAATCTGTGCGTCGGGTCTGGCTGGTATACCTGGTATGCATCATACTCCTGTTATTAAGAAGTTTGTCGTCCCGAGGAGCCATGTTAAGCGTTGGAGCGGCCAGCCCCAAACTTCATTCCGGGATGGTCGGGCTTGAGCCCTCAAAGGATCAAAGGATGCCATGCCCGTAACTCGGAACAACACGTTTATGCACTTCACTGCATATGCATGGCTTAGATCAGCTGCTTTGCTTCCACCTCACCCCGAACACCGAATCAACGCTGCCAATCGCCGACATACAGTATAAGCCGTGCTGCACACGTTAAAACAAAGAAAAAACCAAGCACACGTGTGACAACATGTGTTAGTTGCGTTGCGGACGGCGTTTGAATTCTGGCTCTTTCCGTTTTCGTGTTACACCAGCAATACCGTTCGAGGTCCCGGTGCATCGCACACGCTGTTCATGGGGAAGTGTGTTCGCCCCTGAACCATCGCCCGTAAGCGGCAGAACCAAAAAGGATGCTGCAAATGTGCGCTACGTTGGCCACGGCGGCCAGTGTGGCAATGGCTGCTTCGGGCCCACTTCCCGCGTACCTGAAATTGCCGACAACGGGCAAAATGTCATCGGCGTCCCTTGCCGAGCTCATGGTGGCGCCATTTTTTTTTGTTTTGTCCCGCCTTTTTGCTTCTGCCAAAAGGCACCGTCTTCAGTCGGCTAGAACCGGCGCGCAAGCTGCATTCACGTACGGAACGGCAACATGCTGGGCCCGGCGGCATCAGCGAGGTCCAACACGAGCTCGAATGCTGGATCGTCTGCCGCTGCGCGCGACGCCGCCGGCCACGCCCACCTGCCGCTGATAGGGTGGTGGCGCGCTGAACGGCGACCGACAGCTGCGTCCACCAGCGCAGAGAGCCCAAGCGGTACCCGCTGCATGGCGGGGAGCGGGCGGGGCGTGCAGCCTGCGGAGGCGAACGAGGTCG